CAGTGTGCAGTAGTGCAGTAGCAGTAGTGTCTCCACGTGGTCCCTTTCAACTACGTTAGCCCCGTTATATCAAGTTATATTGATGGGATATGAATTATTTTAATTATTGTAGTTCGTTTGCGTGATGCATGATGTGTTTAGGTTGTTCGCCAGAGTTACAAATGATGTATGCTGGTAGTCGGAACAATCTAGTGAAAGAGTGTGAACTAACAAAGGTAGAGAGAGCTTTTCCATAATTTTTTCGTTGTGTTTTATGTTTTACCTTTTGTATGCTGAGCTGGGTGGGTAGGGATGGGGAGCAGTGAGCAAGACTAAACTGTCTCTTTTCCTGCTCGTCTGTGCTGCGCTCTCCAAGGCTTAGGTAGATAGGTGAAAGCAACTGCAGGTACCCTATCTCATTGAGAGGATGTAGACGAATAGAAGAGGGGCGCGGTGTAGTCTCGCTACTGATGCTCCCCCCTCCCCAGCTACCTTGGCACCACATTTTGTTTTGATTTCCTGTGTTAGTCCATTTTGAAGATTTATAAGTTTGACCTGTAATTTGCATTCGTTGCGCTATTTTTCAGTACTTTGAAATTCGCGATGCAGAGGAATTGACCAAGGAGTATCTCGATTCGAAGCTCACCTAAATCTGATTTCTTTGAAGCTACTAACTCTTTTTGTTTATGTTGTATTTGTAGACTTTCTAACCTCATATTCGAGCAGTGTTTGACCCGATGTTTGGTAGGTTCAGTGGCCATTTAACTAGGCTTTGATTAACCCCTGTTTAAGCCGTTTAACTCCCCATAGATTTATGCTTACAGCGCTCTTCAACTCTGTGCCTTCTTAACAGCGCCAAGAACTTTTCTATTGCGCTCTCACATATTCCTTATAAATCTTGAAATTCTCGTTCGTATAGGGACGAATTGGCCGCGTTTCGCTTATTAGAGCTAGTGAAGTTTTATTCCATATTGTATTTGATTTGGCGCGGAATATTCGCAGTAGAGCACGTTATCCTTCTCACCCGCCTCCTATTCTGATTTACTTTTAAAGCTTATGTTTTGAATTTTCCACTATTTTGTTTAGTAATCGTATTTTACCTCTCAACTTTGAGAAAAACACTTTGTCATAACCTTCTCTGTAGATTGCCATTCCTATCCGTGATCACCATCTAACCGCAACCTCTACTCTTTGTTGCCTCGGGCTTTCACTAATCTTGAAAACACATTCGACCGTGATTTTGTGATTTCATAGTAGTACTTATTTATTGTCGCTGATTCTCACTATTCAATAAAGTTCTATATTTTTGTTTGTTTCCCGAAGATCCCTTCGGATGTGACCGTTTGTGATATCGTAGTGGATTTGTACCAGATGTGAGGAGACGTGTGCACATTGGTTTTTGAGTTTGAGTTTCGTATTGGTGGAACTTCCACCTTTTTGGGTGCGGGTCAGGACATCCAAGTTGCGATGTCACGAAAAAGTTTGCTAAGCGCCCGTGCCCCTCCCTAGATATCAAATTAGTTACAGTCCTATTCGCTGCGGACACTGG